GGAGGAAGAAGGTGGAAGGTGGTTGGCTATGGTGGATGGGTGGTGGTGGTGGAGGAAGAAGGTGGAAGATGGTGCTCGGTGTTATCCCCAAACCTAAGTGTCCGTCCGGGTTTGTCTTTCGGCATATTGTCCAACCCCGGACACAAAGCACAGTCCTACAGCACTAATCCTACAGCCAATATGCAGAAAACACAGTTTTGCATCAGACACAGTCTCCAGAAAAATTCGCAGAATTTGCAGTTTGCAGATTTCGGCATTTTTGTCGTTTTGCTGTTTTTTTTGCTAACTACGGAGAGCCTAAAAACACAGGTCTGTGTTTCCTGCCCCAAACGACCTCAGAATCACTCCAAACTTGGTGGGCCCTCTCACTGTACCACAGGGAAGGCCTCTGCAACGTTTGGTTTGATTCTGATGCCGTTTGGGTCGACTTGCCTATTTCGGGCGTCGTTCGGCCTCAAGGCGAACAGTTCGGGGAAGTCCGTTTTCTGATTTTTCAGAAAAACGGACTCCGATGGCCCGCTGGCTCTGCAGGCCATCTGTTTATGCCTAGGGTATAAGGTCTGAGAAGTCTCAGGCCTCACATCCCAGTTTTGACGGAGTTATCACCGACGTGCCCCCGGGTCATATTGGTCCATTTGTCGTTTTCGGACGGTCTTGCACCGGTAATTGGTCACTTATTCTTTTCTTGTAGTAGCAGCAGTCTGGGCTGGCCAGACCTTAGCAGCAATCATAGTCCTACATCAATTCATCAGCAGAAGCAACAGCAATGGTTCAAACAGTTGAAAAACAGCATTCTACCTACTTCTCAATTACCGTGTTCGAATAGAACACGGGGGGGGGGGGGTGAAATCATGCGGCACTTCTTGATTAGAGCACAGGGGGAAGTAGCGATTCACATGGGAGTGCAGAAAGGACAAATGAAGCACTAATCACTAACTAAATACTAGGACATGCGAGAAACAAAGTTCTGATTTGCACCCAAATAGAGAAGTGAAGGGAAAGTGAGAGTTGAGTGAGTAGAACTCACTCAAATGCATGGAGACTCAAAGGGGAAAGTGGTGATTCACAGGGGAGTGAAGAAAAGGACAAAACAAGTCCTAGTCATCATCTAATCACTAGAATGAGCAAAAATCCAAGTTGCGATTTGCATCCAAGTACAGAAATGGAGAGAAAGTGAGAGTGGAGTGAGCAAAACTCACCCAAATGCATGAAACCACAAGGGGGAAAGTGGCGATTCACATGGGAGTGAAGAATAGGACAAAACAAACACTAATCACCATCTAATCGTTAGAATGAGCAAGAATCAAAGTTGCGATTTGCATCCAAGTAGAGAAATGGAGAGAAAGTCAGAGTAGAGTGAGTAAAACTCACCCAAATGCACGAAATCGCAAGGGGAAAAGTGGCGATTCACATGGGACTGAAGAATAGGACAAAACAAGCACTAATCATCATCTAATCACTAGTATGAGCAAGAATCAAAGTTGCGATTTGCATCCAAGTAGAGAAATGGAGAGAAAGTGAGAGCGGAGTGAGTAGAACTCACCCCAAATGCATGAAATCACAAGGTGAAAAGTGGCGATTCACATGGGAGTGAAGAATAGGACAAAACAAACACTAATCATCATCTAATTACTAGTATGAGCAAGAATCAAAGTTGCGATTTGCATCCAAGTAAAAAATGGAGAGAAAGTGAGAGTAGAGTGAGTAGAACTTACCTAAATGCATGAAATCACAAGGGGGAAAGGGGCGATTCATATGGGAGTGAGGAATAGGACAAAACAAGCACTAATCATCATCTAATCACTAGTATGAGCAAGAATCAAAGTTGCGATCTGCATCCAAGTAGAGAAATGGAGAGAAAGTGAGAGTGGAGTGAGTAGAACTCACCCAAATGCATGAAATCACAAGGGGGAAAGTGACGATTCACATGGGAGTGAAGAATAGGACAAAACAAGCACTAATCATCATCTAATCACTACTATGAGCAAGAATCAAAGTTGCGTTTTGCATCCAAGTAGAGGAATGGAGAGAAAGTGAGAGTAGAGTTAGTAGAACTCACCCAAATGCATACAAGGGGGAAAGTGGCGATTCACATGAGAGTGAAGAATATGACAAAACAAGCACTAATCATCAT